AAAGCCTGAATACAAATTTGCAAACTTAAATTCAAATTTTGTGTGTCTTTAGATAAAGTTGACCAGATAAGAAAAATGGTTATTAATTTTACGACGAAAAGCCATTCTTTATAAAAAAATTAACTTGTCGAGAAAATGAAATTCACATATCAAAACATTAAATAAGACGTATAGGGTGTTAGTAAATTAAGAAACAGGAAAAAATTTCAAGAAAGAACGAAAGAAATTTTATTATCTTACATAAAGAAAGAATTTATTTATTATCTTACATTATTATTTACAAAAAAATGCTTTTAATCTCTCTTTTAATGCTCTTTTTTTTATAAAGAATTACTTTTTTTTCGTAAAATTAATAATCATTTTCTCCTCTGGTCAACTCCATCCGTGGACACACAAAATTGGAATTTTAATTTGAAAATTTGCATTCAGGCTTTATTTTAGATTATAAACAACTTTCTTTTATAAACATTTTGTGTAAAATAAAAAATAATGGTACTTCCCTCTTGAGGTATTTTCATGTTTTCTTAATTTGACAACACCCTGTAGACCCAATCTAAGATTTTTCAGTGTCATTCTCATTTTTAAAAGAAGCAAAAATTTTTATCGTACTTTTATCGACTTTTTGTCGTAAAATGAATAATAAAAATTTTTCTCCTATAGACAACCCCATCCGTGGACACACTGTATATAGAAAAAAAAATTAGGTTGTTCATAAGTCATAAACATTCATCAAAAATTCAATCTGGCATATGACACCTTCATAAGATTTATAATGATATAACATGATAATAAATTAAATTATATCCAGTAAAAGAAAATAATACACCTACTCGTCGATCCCGAAATCAACCCTTCCGGGCAATCGTTAACCGCTCAGAAAACACTTTCACGATGGGGGTAAATATAAATGTAAATTCACGGATTCGACGAAGGTCCGTCCGCTTAAGATTAACGCTCCCGAATCTTCGCTTGTTAAATCCGTCAAATTTGATGAAGAGGGCAAAATAATTTTCATCCATCAACCGGGCAGTGATTAATTGAGCGTGGCGTGGCGCGGACAGGTGGGACAATGGTACACGGCGCGGACCCCAAATGCGATACGACGCAATGAATAACATCGACGTCGCCTCTCCCTGGGCGTCGCGACGCGCTCGTTGTGTTTCTAACAATCGCCCACCCCTGATGCCGATATTATTAGCGGACGGTTTAACAAGCCAATTCGAGTAGGGCGGACCATCGATTTGTACCGAGCGATTATTACCGCATTTCCAATAATCACATCGATAAAAAATATATAAATTTATACCTAAAATTTCCTACGTTCTACTATACTGCTCCACAAAAGTTAAGGAAGTTGACAAATATTGAGATTAATTTAAAAGTTGCAGGTTTTTTGGTCGCCAAATTTAGTATGAGTTGTCGAGGTAGGGGCAAAAAATCCACTCAGATGTGAGAAAAAACATTTAGTTTCTCATATTTGAAAATTTGGTGATCAAAAAGTCTGTAACTTTTAAAATAATCGCAAAATTTGCGAACTTCCTTAACTTTTGTGGAGCAGTTTATCTACTTTATACTCTACTAATGCCCGATTTCACCAACATGTTGTTAGGTATTCCCTAACTAGGTAATTCCTAAGGTAAGAATTACTTAAATCGAATACTTATAACCTAAATCGAATTTCACCAACATTATAAATCCCTTACTAAGAAATACCTAGGTAAAAATTTGATTTTGACAATTTTTTTGAATTTTATTGATAGCATTGGCTAATTTTGACGTGTAAATCGAATAAGCGGAGATCGAAATTGAATATGTTGAGAGAAAAGAAGAGATGTTGATGATCCGGGTCATCTTCAAAACTATGTTAGTTATTTTTAAATCTGCTGAAGATGTAGTCTGTACATTAATAGAAAAATAACCTTTCCGATTTGTAAAATATTTCTACATCTTCTTCTCCAGGACTATGGATCCTTACATGCATGTGTACGGTCAATAGTTCCAAAAACTTCCTGATGTGTATCAAATTAAAAATCATCTTTAATTCTTTCTGATATTTGTAATGTCGTATTTTTATATATCGAAAAAGACTAAAAAAAATCAGTTTCGACCAGTTTCTAAAAACTCTCCTCCCATTTTAAATTTTCATCTAAAGAGTGTAAAGACAGTCAAAACTTAAGTCACATGAAATCACATGAAAAGTATGGTTAAGTATTTCCTAAATGTTTTAGGCAAGCCCAGTGAGATGTCCTAACTTTAGGCATTTCCTATTACCTTTAGGTATTACTTAGTGCATGGTGAAACGCAAATTGTACTTAGGAATTCCTAAATCTGGTTTAGGTATTACCTAACTTTAGGAACTGGTTGGTGAAATCGGGCATAATAGTCACTAATAGTGTACACTAATAGTGTACATCTTATCTTACCTTCATTTTTACAGTGAAAAAAGGCAAGGAAGAAAAAGAAAAAAGAAATGCCCGGTAAGCAAACAAATATTTATGGTAATTTGCATATATGTGCGTTGGATAAATAAAACACGTTATAGAACCTGGACGGCCGTTGGCTAACATTGTTGTCTCCTATTAAACAGTTCAAATAGCGAAAATATATACGCGTATTATTCTCGACGGCTGACCGGTCTCGCAATCTACGGGTCGAAAGCAAACAAGGTCCACACAAAACACCGGGTTTATGCTATGCTGTGCAAATATATCCCGCCTAGTTGTGAATAAATTCCTTTTTGACGAGTATTATTCACGTCTCGCTCGTCCAGTTTGCCAATGCCGCTTGTAAACTTTTACGCCCCCGAAATATCCTACTATATTCGGCACATAAACTTCCCTATATCTTAATTAATTTTCTACCCTCGCCTGTTGCTGTATAGAGTTTCTACCTACGATATTTCGAAAGTCTATACAATTATACGATATATCGATTAAGGTTAGAGTTCAGTACTCACAAAATATTTTTATTCTCTCTACTTTTATGCACAAAATTTTCTCTCTGCCTTTATACACAAAATATTCTCTCTACCTTTAAGTACAAAATTTTCTCTCTACTTTTAAGCACAAAATTTTCTCTCTACTTTTATGCACAAAATTTTCTCTCTACCTTTATGCACAATATTTTCTCTCCACCTTTATGCACAACCTTTTCTCTCTACTTTTATGCACAATATTTTCTCTCTACCTTTGTGCACAAAATATTTTTATTCCTTACACTTTTATGCACAAAATTTTCTGATTAAAATTTCTGGTTTGTTGCACACTTTTCCAATAAAAGTATTATCATATAATTCATTAATTTCATCTTCAAAATCTTCCCAACATATCTACTACGAGTTCCTAAACACCACTACTGAAAGTCGATTAAGACTAGAGTTCTGTACTCACAAAATGTTTTTATTCTCGCTACCTTTAAGCACAAAATTTTCTCTCTACTTTTATGCACAAAATTTTCTCTCTACTTTTATGCACAAAATTTTCTCTCTACCTTTATGCACAAAATTTTCTCTCTACCTTTATGCACAATATTTTCTGTCCACCTTTATTCACAAAATTTTCTGTCTACTTTCACGAACATTTTCAGGATTTTTCAGCATTTTTACACACATTTTCACAGTGCTGAACTCTAACCTTAAACCATATCCTGTTGTGTGCTAAATATCCCGTAAAATAAATCTGGCTATAATTTCCGGTCGAGGATTAACCGAAATTTCTGTATTGAATCTTAAAACGTGCCGGCGAAGATTAGCGAGGGATCGATGACAGCCAGCCCTGGCATGCTAATATCCACAGTATGCAATTCAAATTAGAAGAGTTAACGAGGACTTGATTAGCACGTCTATTACACGTTTCGTGATACGAGAGAAGGGCGGTTGGGCGAAAGCGGATCGTTCCGACGACGGAATTTAACCTCTCTTCGCGAATCTTAATGCACACCGAAGGCGACGAAGATCTTTTTTTTGAACCACTTTTTTTTGACAAATTTCGAAGCTCTCGAAAATATTATTTAACGCCAATGTAATTAAGCGGTATTCTTAACTGTGCTTGAATATTTCGCATTCCGCGATTGTTTAATTTCCACGTTGACATCGAGTAACGAAGCCGCGAATATGGGAGTCGTGTTCCATTAAAACTTTATAAATAACATCGTTCGAAAATCGCCCCGAAACTTTTGACGCCTGTAAATTCATTAACGCACAACCGTTTTATTAGAATTAACGAAGTTTATTGATTGAATTTTAAAGGCGACCGGCGATGTGTTCCGGGCTATCCCTTCGCTCCGGCCAATTTTCTGATAAGGCGTTCGAATTCTGATTGTTAGGGAATTAGCTTACCTAACTATCGATTGCTCGTAAACGCTAATGTTTGGTGATAAATTCAAAGCCGATGAGAATTTTATTAAGACTGGGAGTATTCTTTTAATGATTTTTTTTTCTATGAAATCGTACGAATATGTGGAACTAAATATAAAAAAAAGTTGGCTGGTCGTAAAGCGACAGGCTGATTTCGTATTAAAGAGCCCTTTTTGTCGTATAATATTTTTTCGTCAACGAAATCGTCCTGAGAGAAGACGTAATGAAATAAAATGTTGTTATTAAAAGAATCGGATGTCTGAGGGAGCGGCACATCAAAAGATTTCCTTTCCCCCATATATCTCCTAATATAACTCTATAAATTGAATCTCCAGTATCCGTGCGTGGAACTGGGACATTGACAAAACGACAAAACAACGGGAAATTGTAATATAAGGATCTCCCAAGTTTTCTTCTACTTCCCGGCACCAAATGTTACTTCACATCAATAAAATCCGATGCTTTTTATTGCAGATCTCGGTTTAACATCCGGATATTGCCACTTTCCACCTTCCTGCAGAATGTTTAGGGATAACAGCGGGATTCTTTTTGGTTAAATTGCAATATAACGTACAATTTTTTTTATTCTGTACCGTATAAACAAGCTTGACTTCTTAACGAAATATTCCTTTTCTTTTTGTTCCAGTTGATTGCGACAATTGGCAGGAATGGTGGACATACGACGGTATTTCAGGTAAGAAGAAAAAATACTACCTATAATTTTGTTTGGTATAAAATCGGAATCTACGTCAATTCATCGCGAGACAATTCATCGCTGCGACAATTCATCGCTACGACAATTCATCGCTACGACAATTGATCGCTGCGACAATTCATCGCTACGACAATTCATCGCTACGACAATTCATCGCTACGACAATTCATCGCTGCGACAATTCATCGCTACGACAATTCATCGCTACGACAATTCATCGCTACGACAATTCATCGCAACAATTTTTTTTCTTATTTTAGCAGAAAATCTTATACAAGTTTATTCATTGATAATATCACCCATTGAAAGGATTATAACCTTCATAAACTTGAGAAAAGCTGAGTCATTTTGAAAATCAAACATTTTTCAATAAAGTTCTTATTTAGAATTCAATATTACCTATCTTATAAATGCATTAATACTACCCCACGTTTACATTATTTTGACTAATTACAGGCTGTGTTTAATAGATATGTAATAGCTCGACCAATAGCAATATGTAATCTACAGGAAATATGAAAAAAGAACCAATCAGCTGAACCATTAATTCTCGATGTAGGGATTACAGAATCAACAAGAGCAAAAACCTCTCTGTTAATATTTTCTGTGAATGGAATTAAATATCTAAATATTAACTTTATTGAAATCGGAGGAATTCGGTGAATTTTATTTTCAAAATTACTTAATTTTTCTGAAGGTTATGAACGTTATAATTCTTTTAAGGGGCGATATTATCAATAAATAATAAACTTTAATAAATAATAAACTGTTATTAAGATTTTCTGCTAAAATAAGAAAAAACGTCGCGATGAATTGTCGTGGCGATGAATTGTCGTAGCGATGAATTGTTGAGCGATAAATTGTCTGCGATGAATTGTCGCGCGATGAATTGTCTCGCGATGTATTGACGTGACACCATAAAATCGATAAATATTGGTATCATTTTAAATAATTCCTAAAAATGTGTTAATTAAAACGCAATTGATCGTCGTCTGGTTCATTAACACAACAGTGGAAATATGACACAGTTATCGAGTTGACGGTGCGGGTGTCACAGGGATCACAAACGATCAAATTAGATAATTATCAATAACACGTTTCGTGCTGCGCGAATTCCGTGTTACATATGTAAATAAGTGTACTTTGGTGGAGCTGTACGGCCACATTCGACCATTATTTATGACGCGGGTATATTGAATTCGGGCGAAATATTTTGACGGGCGGTGAAAATTCTATCATTAATTCCGAATAAATGTTTTCGTAAAATTAGAAAATTCGATGCAGTGTTTAATAATTAAACGAATGCGGCCGATCGAGTGCATTACGCGCTTAGCGAATTAGGCGAAAATTAAAATATTGATGTTGCGGAGATTTTCAATTTGCACACGTACAGGTATTATTTTAATTTGTTATGTGGCTAATTAAATACAACGCCCGGGATGCAAATTGTTAGTCAAAAGTTACGTTCTATCAAAAACATATGCTTGATTTGTTTGTGTTATTTTCCGATAATTGACATATTATAATAAAAAAAAATGATTGAATTGTTAACTCTCTGTACCTATAAATTAATTATATCAAAACTGCGCATTGTAATAAAACGAAACGTTTCATACAAATACAAAAAGTATAACTGCGGCGGTTGGAATTGCATGAAACCCGAAGATTTCTTACACACTTGGAATTTTCCGAGTGCAATATCATCGAAATTCCTTTAAGCGAGATTTCCAATTTTCTATCGAATGTATTATACAATTTTCACAGTTGAGTAAAAATAATAGGAGATGCAAAGCGCGTCAAATAACAACGTTTACGATTTGAAAGAGCGTCGTAAAAGGTTGCATCTTACATTTTGAATTCAATTTCATTGCCGATATCGTCTTCGCGATACACATACAAATTTTTAAACGTAAAATTTTATGTCGCGTACTTGATACTCCAGCCGATGCACTCGTGCTTTTTTATTTTCCCTGGAGATGGTAAATTTTGACTAGAAGAAAATTTTCTGCATATTGCACTTTTTAATCAAGCGAGTCGTTAATTACGAATAATCGTCAAAGTGCGAATATCGAACTACTTGCAGAATTTCTTGTTTGCATAAAAGGGGCCATAATTCATAAACCACGCACTGAATACACCAGACATTGATTAATTAATTAACCATCTGCGAATTAACACTAACAAGTTTCCAACTGTTTTTACGGGTAATACATTGTTGAAAGAGCAGACTCGACTCTATTTCTGTTTGTCTCCTCGTCGGCTTATTGATCTGCCGTTTGTTTACCGCGAAACTTGCCCGCTTTTTTCCGAAAAACTTTTTATTTCTGTTGTTCGTCTCGAGTTCATTAATTTTAAAGACAAATGTTGACGAGCTCGTATAACATACTTTTCCCTGGACCAGAAAAAGTTTACCAAAAAAAACTCCTGACCGAAGTTTTCGCTTGATTTTTCGCTAATTTTATTGGACCTTATATCGCTCTGTTTGGATTGTTTTTATTTTTCTGAATTCGCTTGAGAATGTGATTGGTTGTGTACCTGCATTTAGAGGATCCTTTTAATTATTTCTATTATTTTGATCTATTTTTGAGGTTCTCTACTTGCTACCAAAGTTTGACCACTTATATCAAAAACACCCTGTATACAGTGTGTGTCACGACGAGGGCCCATTAGAAGTATCTGGAAAAGTAGTAGTAATTAAAATTTGAAAATTTGTCTACAAATGTTAGTCGATGCGCTCTATTCAATGAAAATATTTTCAACTTTTCTGTACTTCCGGTTATACCGGAAATGGACAGTAACTTTGTTATTTTAAATGGGACACCCCATATATTAATATATTTTAGAAATGTACGCAAAATTTTAGAGTGCTTTTGTCTAAAAAACTTTTTTCAAAAATGCATACTTTTTGAGTTACTAATTTTTTTTTGAAAAATTTGACCGATGCAGACCCTTATAAATTACTTTTTTACGGGGATCCCTTTAAAGATATGGATACGGTTTCTGTAGGGTGGCCACTAGCAAGGTCAAAGATATTTGAATCTGTGTTAAAAAACTTTTTATTTTATACAGGGTGTATACAAAACATGTGAAAAGTTGAACTTCAAAAATACCAAATTATTTCAGTTTTTTAAATGGAACCACCCATTTTTTTCTATTTTATTGAAATCAGCGATGAAAAATAAGGAAAGTTCATGTTTACTTCCCTATACCTAAACCTAATAGGTTTGATGATATTAAAAATTTTACTTAAAACTTACTTTTCTGCCTTATTCTTAAATAACTCGGTTTTACAAATTGACCATGTAAATTGTTTGTAATTAATTGTTTATTAATTTTGGTACTTGTGAGATATTACATAAGGGTCTGCATCGGTCAAATTTTTCAAAAAAAAATTAGTAACTCAAAAAGTATGCATTTTTGAAAAAAGTTTTTTAAACAAAACCACTCTAAAATTTTGCGTACATTTCGAAAATATATTAATATATGGGGTGTCCCATTTAAAATAACAAAGTTGATGTCCACTTCCGGTATAACCGGAAGTAAAGAAAAGTTGAAAATATTTTCATTGAATAGAGCGCATCGACTAATAATTGTACACATATTTTCAAATTTTAATTACAACTACTTTTCCAGATACTTCCAATGGGCCCTCGTCGTGACACACACTGTATATTTGCGGGAATTTCTACGTTTTTCATCGGTAAAATATTCCCTTAGTCGCAAAATGCGATATTTCATCGTCCAGTTAGGAAAACAGCCGCATTAGTTCCGAAAAATCGACTCCAGATTAGACGCATTGTTGACCATCCTCATGACAGAAAATGGTCCATTCGAGAAATTCGCCGAAACGCCATATAAAATTGCTGCTGAACACCGAATGGTTTATTGAAAATCGATGTATTTACTGATGTAGAACAGCAAACTTTACTTCCATTATTTTTTTTAAAGGACCTAACTCTTTCAAAAAACCGATAATCTCTGAATGTGCATTACGGTGGCATTAAATATGCAAACTCTCGGATTATAAATGCAACTTATGCACTTGTTCAAGGCAATCATTTTCCGCTAGTCCGCGGGAAATCCAGCCTCTGTGCATTCCCCAGACCTCTTACTTTATTCGTAAACTTCCTTCCATAATATATGGGCCAGCCGCATGCGGGATGCGGAAGCGTTTTTCGAACCGGAGCCCGCTCAACTACAAGATTGCACCTGTAAATATTATATGGGCAATTCGCACCAGGTCTGCTATTCGTTTCAATCCGGATCGCTGGCAACGTTTTCGCTTATGCATTCCTGGAAGGCGGAAACTGACACTTTCTTCCCGAGACCTTCTACCTACTCTTATTTGTTGTTCGGATATAAATCCCATGATGTATGCATGTCTTCGGAGCGGCGCTTTTCCTGCTTGCTGTTCGGCGGGAATTCTCGTCGATAAATGGATTTTTTCGATAACCAGTAATTCCGCGGCTGGTTTAATTTGTCCAGGGTAGCCGTTAGCGTAATTATCGATGAGTTGATGTATCCCAATATGCCGCAGGTGTTAATGGAAAAACAGCCTAAATTCAGGCAATTAAATTGTATCCAAAATCACTATCTACACCATTTCCAACTGTATACTCAGAAAGAGTCAGGTTCATTTAAGAATGCGTCAATTGAATTTCAGAATAGTCACTTATATTTTGGAAAGTATCAATTGTATTTCAGAATAGTCGATTTGATTTCAGAAATCACCAATTGAATTTCAGAATAGTAAATTTGATTTCAGAAATCATCAATTGTATTTCAGAATAGTCAGTTCGATTTCGGAAACGTTCATTTGAATTTCAAAATAGTCAAATTCATTTCAGAAATCATCATTTGTATTTCGGAATTCTTCAATATCTATAGCTTTTCAATCTCAATTTCAGAGAAAATTATAAAAGTATCAGTTCAAGAAGAATAATTTCGATTTCAGAAAAAAATATTTCAATTCCGGAGAGAAGTTGTTTCAAGTCCGAAAAAATAATATAAGGACTGAGTTTTTCTTCTTCCTTAATAATTGTCATATGATTTCTGCATTCCAAATGGGACTCTGAAATCTTTTTAACGGTTTCCGAAACACAAATGATAATTTCGGAAATCAAATTGACTATTCTGAAATTCAATTGTTGATTTCTGAAATCAAATTGACTATTCTGAAATTCAATTGATGATTTTTGAAATTAAATAGACTATTCTGAAATTCAATTGTTGATTTCTGAAATCAAATTGACTATTCTGAAATTCAATTGATGATTTTTGAAATCAAATCGACTATTCTGAAATTCAATTGTTGATTTCTGAAATCAAATTGACTATTCTGAAATTCAATTGTTGATTTCTGAAATCAAATTGACTATTTTGAAATACAACAGATACTTTCCGAAATATAAGTGACTATTCTTAAATTCAATTGACGCTTTCTGAAATACAACTGGAAAAGGTCTAGTACGCACCTTGTAAATTTTAAAAAGAATATAATTCCTCCTAAATTAACAACATTTTACTTACAAAATAAGCGTACTTTTATGGGGGCATGAGGGTTGTGGCCGATGATATACGGGGTTTTGAGAACGTAATACCTGAAATTAGCGTTTCGGTTTTCCACAGGACTGACTCGGTGCCATAAAATACCGGAAAACAGGAAACGCCAAATGAATCTCTCCGCCCTAATGGCAACAAAACGATATTATCGAAAGCGATACCTAGTGGGTGCAATTGTAATTAAAAGTAGTGCTACGGTAAGTGGTTTGCTGGCAAACTCGATTGGTATAACGGTGATATTGCAATGATTTGGGAAAGGGGAAAACGCTCCCTGTACTCTGTTGATGATGGCTGATGCGATCACGGACCGTTGATCTGCATTATTTCCACAATAACACGTTTTGATTAACCTCCGTGGCAATAAACAAACCGCATTCGATATACGTGAGGTATGCATCGATTCCACATCTACATAGATTATCTATAACTTATAATTTCCTCCATTTTATACTTGAATAAATTACTCCAAAAAAAATCTAATTTCGATATTATTTCCAGGTTTAATGTTAAAGCAATAACATTAGGCAGGCGATTGAAAAACGCGATCAAAGGCAGTTAATTAATTCAAAAATCCCGCGGCTTAATTATGATTAATTGTCTATAGTTTCTTTTCGGAAAATATTTAGTGGGAACAATACGAGCAAAAAATGGGAAGCCGACTGACTGGGCGAACCCAAACAATTCGAGCACATAATTAATCTTGATTCAAACACCATCAGAATGATTTATTTCATTTTAATTAAATCGAATAAAACACCGTTTCGATGTCAGAACGTCGGTCGGGGAAAAACGGACGAAAAATGAACATCTTGCGGAATTTTCATTTATCTTCAATGTGGGGATTATTATTTCTTTAAACTTGGAGTGATTTATTTTTCCTAAATCTCGAACTTTTCTATAGGCAAGTATTTTATCTGAATATTTTCCATCCAAAATGTATCTTCTCGAATAATCTAACACTTTTATAGAAGAGCGTCCATTTGTAACCCAAACCCATCGAATCTTCGAGCTAATTCGGTACTCCAAATAAAGTTTACTAAGCATAATTAATTAATCTATATTGGTATTATTAATTAGTTAATCGGTTGTCTTAGATGTTTTAATTAAGGGCACATCGATACCGTATCGAATTTCTCCTCGGCGTTCCCTCATAGTGGGTATGTAGAGGATGGTGCCGATGGGGATTGTGAGGTAGCAAACCATCTGGATCATAACGTGGAAGAATATTTGTTTCTTCGTTAAACGGATCTTCGGTGCTCCCGAAACGACGTTGCATTCTCTTCTAATCCCCATCTTGAGGGCTTTTGAATAATATTGGATTCTATGGGTTGTTTATAATAATTATAATTAGGAACACTTACCTTTTATGTGTATTTTAATAAACGAAGGAAAGTGTTGTGAAGAGATGTCGAAATATTTGACAATGATATTACATCTCCTTGGTTATATCTAATTTATCATTTTTTTTAGTAATAATATAAAAAGTGAAATAATAGGTTTGTTCCTACAAAAAGTCACTGATTTGTTACCAATAAGTTTCTGACTCTTCTATTTCGCATGCGCGGTTTATGATTGAATGGTGTAATCAAATTTCCGATTTCTTGATGGAACAGTCTTTACATTTATTACATATTCACCAAGTATCAAACAAAAACAACAAACAACATAACCTAATAATTAACCTATATTCAGAAATACAGATTAAACCCGAATTAAAAATGCGCTTGCGCCGGATTCTAAATCTCTGTACTATCAGCAAATTTTTCTGACTATCACAAAACCAGTCCCTTGAACTGTTGAAACAATAAATTGTTAACCAAATCAGAATCAGAGATGTCTGCAGTGGAGTTTGTTGGAACGCCTAAATTATTACTGCGCAGACTCCTGACGTCCACCGGCTATTTCTGACTGTTGTAGGAACAAACCTAATAAGTGTGTAGTCATTTAGCCAATTAATCAGGTGACAGTCAGTCGTAAGTTGTAAAAGAGAACCGTTGAGGTTTGAACAAAAAGATGTCGTCTATGAAGAGTTGGAAAATAAAGTGCAATCAGGGGAGAATCAGATTTTTAATTAAGCCCTCTACAAGTGTTAGAGTGTCATAAAAATTTTAAACCTACATATTCCCAGGTTAATATTGAGCATTTTCTCCGGTGTTAGCAACGTAAGCTTTGGAAAATTCTTTGTTGAAAATTGAGTCAGAACGAGAAATCGGGAAAAATAACACGGCCATTGGAATTAAATGCATGCAGGTTATATGGAACATCATTATACTTGTACCGAGCGTGCACCGCCAGATATTTCAGTATGCAGCTGAGTGCTCACGTAGGTCATATATGCGGTTTGCACCAGCTAACTGGATCGTTGAGAATTTCGTTGGAATTTGAAATATGACCCGTTGCTTCCCAAGTTCCACTTTTCAGCAACATCCGCACTCGCTTTATTGCTATATAATCGCGTCAAATTTCATTATAATATTCCGAAAGCCTCGGCTTTCAAGACTATTGCACCAGACATATCCCGGCGAATTAGATTCCGCTCGCCCGATATTGCATTCTGAACGAAATAATAATTTATTTAAATTCGATTACGGCATTTAAACGATCCGAGAAAAACAAACACCACGCACCCGACACTCCTACAACAACGACCCAACCAATACCTAGTCACGAAATCGAATTACCACAACTCATACACTCCGACGAATTATTCAGGAAGTCTCCTTTGCATTCCGAAATATGTTCCCCAACTACCTCAAACTTGTTTTTGAATAGCCAACAGGCGTTCTAACAACGTGAGAGCTTCGGAACTTTCCTGTTCGATAATATTTTTACCAACTCGCACGTGCTAATAATCCTCTCCAACAATTATTTTAATAATCTTCGAATTTGTCTTTTACTAACGAGCAAAGGTGTAAAAATAGATACCAATTGAAGGTTCTTTAAGAGAAGAGTAGATTAAGGCGGTTGTAATGCCCGATTTCACCAACCAGTTCCTAAAGTTAGGTAATACCTAAACCGGATTTAGGAATTCCTAAGTACAATTTGCGTTTCACCATGCACTAAGTAATACCTAAAAGTAATAGGAAATGCTTAAAGTTAGGATAGCTCACTGGGCTTGCCTAAAACATTTAGGAAATACTTAACCATACTTTTCATGTGATTTCATGTGACTTAAGTTTTGACTGTCTTTAGACTCTTTTGATGAAAATTTAAAATGGGAGGAGAGTTTTTAGAAACTGGACGAAACTGATTTTTTTTCGCCTTTTTCGATGTATAAAAATACGGCATTACAAATATCAGAAAGAATAAAGATGACTTTTAATTTGATACACAGGAAGTTTTTGGAACTATTGACCGTACACATGCATGTAAAGATCCATAGTACTGGAGAAGATGTAGAAATATTTTACAAATCGGAAAGGTTATTTTTCTATTAATGTACAGACTACATCTTCAGCAGATTTAAAAATAACTACCATAGTTTAAAGATGGCCCGGATCATCAACATCTCTTCTTTTCTCTCAACATATTCAATTTCGATCTCCGCTTATTCGGTTTACACGTCAAAATTAGCCAATGCTACCAATAAAATTAAAAAAATTGTCAAAATCAAATTTTTACCTATGTATTTCTTAGTAAGGGATTTCTAATGTTGGTGAAACTCTATTTAGGTAAGTATTCGATTCAAGTAATTCCTACCTTAGGAATTACCTAGTTAGGAAGTACCTAACAACATGTTGGTGAAATCGGGCATAAATGTAAAATACAAAAGGGATCCCACGGTTTCTAGTGTTATCCCTTAACGACGTGACGCCTTTGATCGGTCTAAGTTCGCAACGGCCTTCGTATGGATTATGCAAGGTCCATACAAATCCAGAAACTAAATTAAGCTGCAATCAGCTAATTTACATGACAGAAAATGGAAACGCAGATGGTGTACGGTTGCGCCCCGGTGTACAGAGGGCTGCGTCGCCGGCTGGAATAATGCATGAGAGGCAAGGACGCGCCGACGGACAACGGTCCTTCTCCTGTTTATGCATATTATATGAGCAGCGGGCGCGTGCTTTTGACATACTTGACGGGGGCTCTTTATTTGATTTGCTCGCCGAACAGGCGACGAAAGTTCTCTTTCTCCAGAAACCGCCACGCACCTCGTTCATTGTCGCCGCTTCCGCCTAATAAAACATTACCTTCTTTGCTTTGTTTAACTATATACAGAATTACCAAGGGGCTATTGTTCGATGCGCCGGGGCCGCAATGGAAACTTTCCCTCTTCGATAAGAAGGCGCGTCAGAAAATTTCGTAAACTTTAGTGTCTATTCGTAACGATCAAAGTATATAAATTTACTGCATATGGAAGTTTGAAAAGAACAAAACAATAGGTACATCAAAGCAATAGACCTATTCAGTTTAACCTGTGCTGCGCGCGCATACTGTGGGTAATTAACTTGACATCTAAACGAACAAACGAACGCACCTCAGGTACAATACGGTTCTGACAACCAGACAACGACAACTTAAGACATACTTCAGACGTCATTTGTCATTATCCAACAATCCGTCGGATTTAATTTGTAATGGACGCGATGACTCGATACAAATTTGTTTTTACTGCCCAGAAAGGGGATTAGGCTTAATATTTACATACAGGTCAAGTCTAAGAAAGAGTAAGAGGCGGGTTAGTACAAAGTTTCCGAAAATGCTTTTTGATCGGTTTGCTATAATATATATTTCAAAGAAATAATCCCAATGACCTATATAAAAAATTATAACCTTTATAAATAAATATACTAAATAATACAAAGAAATACTGTTAAAAAATAATACACACTGAACATAAACAAACATCAAACGGAAACAAGAAACAAAATAGGGTTAATATTGAAGATGGTCTCTTCTTTTTTATATTTAAAACAGTTTTCATCTAAGAATCATTCAATGTGTCTGTCAATCAGTAATGAAATAGGCCAAATATCTCATCTCTCTTGCACTTACGTTTGCGCATATTTTAAATGGTTCCACAGATTGCGCGTGAAACATATTTGCTTCTTTTATTCTCTTATCTTGATCAAATAACTCCATCACTCTCTTTCATAAACTGAATAGGTCTATTAACATCGAATCCAAATTGTTTGTGATTTACTGTCTTAAAACAATCATATTATACACGATGCACGTTATACCTATGGAAAACGAGCCGTCGTGGATTTGATGAGATTTGCACCAGTTGGTTCATCGCCATGTGCTCAAATACCTCGCTAAAATCTCTATTGGAGCCTCCGAAGCGGGCGGAATGTGATCGGCTTTAGCGCAGCAATTGATTGCTCGAAGAACAATAGAATATTATTGTCAGGCAGGCGTCATTATGAATAATTAAAGTATTTGCAAAAAGCGGTTTGTCTAAACAAATTCTGCTGATTAGAATGATTTAGGGTCGGGAATTTCGTTATCAACTGCTAAAACAACTACGCCCAAATTACATTATTGGTTTTATCCGAAAAATCCGAAGGCAATACGTGACGAATTTTTATTTAGTCAGCAATTTGTTAGACATTAATTCAATTGCGCGTCCATTCATTGGCGAGCAAATGGCGGTAAATAAATAAACAAAAATATTCGCGAATTAATTCGCCTGGAACCGGCGTATACGTGCAATCTATTTTTCATTCTGCTATATTCATTTTTTGCTTTTCAGAATTTTTTTATTCATAATTTCGTTAATTTTGTTTGTTTTGACGCAATTGCTTATACGGTGAAAAAATTTAAACGGATTTTTGACACGTTTGATATCGCGTATCTCTATAACTTTAATCAGATTCATTTTAAATTCGCGCAATAGGTAAATCGTTTTAAAATCGAATTTCATTTCGACCAAGTAACCGACGTTTGCTCTATTTCACTTTAATACTCGGCGCAAAGATACATCTCTATCTAAATGAATATCGATCGCCTATACAGGAGCACTAAAAGGTCCTTATCAGGAAATAAGGATTTGTTCTTCAATTCAATTATAAATACCTATGAAGGGTAATTAAATTTCACTTAGGTTTTCTAAAATTTGCTTTTAGTCGAAGAGCTAGTTACCTCCTAATCACACTTTAATAATAGTTCAAACGCGTAACTTTCGTTTGGTAATTTATGGAGTTACCTACATTGTTTTAATCTATTTCTATCTAATTATGTACAATGTCAGTTAGTTACACAGATGAGATTTAATTAATAATCCATTAATTAGCAAAATTTTGCACATAAAATTGCAGAAATAAATCGAGCACGGTGCACTCTCCCTCAAC